TGGTAGAATTTATCAATCTTTTATGAGATGCATTTTGTGTTTCAAGAAAGTTTTCACTCTGTCAAAATCATAAAAGTTTCAGCTTCTTCTTCTGAGCTTATTAAAAGTCTGCTACTCCCCAGCAATCTGCAATGCATCCTCTGTCACATCTCTCAGCTTCCTCACTCAGGTCTGTTTGGCCCATCTGTTTATCCCAAAGCAAATAATAAGTATACCATCATAATTTCTACATTATCAAAGTAACTCTCCAAGTGCTGACAAGGCAAGACCATTTTCTTCTTCTTTAGGAGTGCTTAGCTATTTTGGGGGCCCCTTTCTTGTTTAAGTCCTTCACAAAATCAATGCTAAGAATTTAAATGTGATTACATTGAATTTGTACATCATTTATGAGAATTAACTTTTTGATACTAAATCTTTCTGTTGAAGAGCATATGTATCTCCATTTTATTGTGTAAATGTCTTTCTTTTATAATAAAGTTTCATAATTTTCCCATATATATTACATATATACCTAGATTTTTGTTCCTAGTATAAATGCAGCTCTATGCATTCTTTTGTCTGTTGCAGATATAAAGAAAAGCAATTATTTTTAATATGGGTCTCACATCCAGCCATCTTGTGACACTTCTTTTCTAATAATCTGTTGATCCTTTTAGCTTTTTGGAGACATTCACACCACCTGAGAAAGACAGTCTTATTCTCTTCCAGACTTTATTTATCTATCCCTCTCCAGGATGGGACACTTAGAACTAGACAGAGGTGGTGACGGGGCCTCTCCTGTCTAGTTCTTGGTTTTAGGAATGGCTTCTAACACTTTACTTTTCAGGAACAGATTTTTCATCATGCTGAGGACTTTCCTTCTATCCCTAGTTTATGGACGGCATTCTCCATGAGTTAATGAATTTGATCATTTTTCAAATGCTTTTGCTCAATCTACTGAAGTGAATATATTTTATCTTAATCACATATTAACAATATTTTCAAATAGAACCTACCCTCACATTCCTAGGGAAACCCCATTGGTCTTTTTTGACAATCTGCTGGATTTCATGTATGTTCCCAGTGAGACTGGCTCCTCCTGTGCCTTTCTTCCCTTATTTTTGTCAGCTGTAAGCATGAAGGTTACTCTACTCTGAGATGAGTCTAGGAGTAAATGCTCACTATACTGATCTGCGGAAAAAACTTGTATAAGACAACTGCAATGTTCTCTTCTTTTCAAGTTCAATAAAACACATGAAATGTAAATCTCTAACATCTAAAACAATCTAAAAGTATTCCAGCCCAGGACTGCTTCTTGAAACAGAAATTTCATATTCACTGGCATAAAGTCTTCTCACTGCATCTTCTCATTATCTTTACAGCCTCTGTAGTGTCGGGTAACCATGACTTCGGAGCATGAATTAAACACACTTTACCTCTACATAATGGGCCTGCTCTAATGTCTGCCCTCTCTATTTTATCTCTGTCTTCTGTCACTAATTTCTAACACTTGTATTACGCCTACCCTAAACTTTCTTGAATTAACAACTTTATATTATTCTTCAAAATAACTTAAGGTAATATGCAACTTTATTGTCAGTGGTTTTGCTCTCAAAACATGAATATAAGATTATGAATTTCCCTCAAATACCACTTTAATCAAACTTCAAATATTTAGATATATATTAATTTTATAATCAGTCTCAGAATTGTTCCGAGTTCTCTTCTTTCACTCCTGAATTATTTAGTAATTCCTTTTAAATTTAGATATTGTAAGGTTCTGAAATCTCTACACATGAATATTTTGCTTCTCACTTACCTGTATTACAGACAGAATAGGGTTGATATATATCAATTTTCTGAATCAACACTCAGGGTCTAGTGTAACACATTTTTGTAAATGCTTTATATGTTGATGAGAATAACATATACTTTCTAATTTGGGGTTAAGAGTCTATTTCAGCAGACTTGACAATCTTATTGTTAAAATCATTTTTATTAACATTTGTGTTTTTGACCTCAGGATAAATCCAGAGAGATGGACTTATCCACAATGATAATTTTGCTAGTGGTAACAAATTTGCCAATTTATTTGTATCATTTTATTTGACTATTTCGAGACTTAGGGATGTGCTTCCTAAAATATGAACCTTTTAGCATATGCTGTAACTCTCTCTCAAATAGTATTTTCCATCTTAAAATTCTGCCTGATATCAATATTGACATGACCCTTTCATTTGGTTAGTAATCTGGTTTAAAAAAAAAAAAGCTATACCAGATGTGGCTTATTAACAATACACAACTGATAGTACACTTATTTTAACAGTTCACTACTGCTTCTTTTTCTACTTTTTTTTAAGATTAGATAAACCTGAGTTCTGTTTTTGTTGCTACTCCCTCCACCCCACCACTTATTTCAAAGTTGTATGTTTCATTCTTAGTCCAAGAATTTTACCAAGAATAAATCAGCCCTAGGTGCAAAATCTTAAGCTCCCCACCAAACAACACTAAGGCCGGGCCTTAAAGGCATTGAGTCTCTGAGAGATAATAAAAAAGTCCTGGGTCAAGCATGAAGCAAGTTGTCAAAATTAGAAAAATCCATGTATATATAAAATTACAGGCAGCATAAACTTTTACTTTCATGTTAACAAACACACAGTACAGGCAACTAAGCCAATGGCCATCACAGAAATTAAAATATGTATGTTTAAAATTTTAAAGGAGAGATAACACTAATAAAGATTCCAAAAGGTGTTAAATGGCCAAATTTTACTGATCTTTCAGATAAGAAATCATTTCTCTGTACATCACAGGAAAAGATGGAAGGCTGTCACCTCATACTATGAAAGGAATGTAATTTTGACAACAACCCAGAAAATGGTAACATAAAAAATGAGATCAGGTTAATTTCATTTGTGATTATACCAAAAATATTCAAGTGATTCCATATTAAAAACCACCACTATCCCTAATCACAATAACCATATAGGATTTATTGCAGATACACAAGGTCAATTCAGCATTACTAAGTTTACTAATTTAACTGTATGTCAGTTATATTTTTGACATGTACTTCAAAATCCACTGATAAATATTAATTTTTCTTAGATTAAAAAATAGTACAAACAGGTTGAAATAGAAAACAATTTGCCTGAATCTGATAATTACTGCCAAAATATTAAAGGTACTCTTCAAAGTGAAAGAGAGATAAGGGTAAACACACTCATCTCAACAGATGAGTACTATACTAAGGCCCTTAGCCAATGTGAAAAAGATTAAAAATACGTAAGATTAAAAAGTTGAAAAAGGAAAAGGTAAAACTGCACAATTATAAATAACTATTAATAAAGAGCTTTTCATTTGGAAAACACAAGAGAATTAATTTAAAATGAACAATAACTAACACAATTAGTAAGCTGGCCTGATATAAAACAAGCACAAAAAATTTAGTAACTTTCCTTCAGACCAAGATAGCAATGAAAGTACTGTATAAGGAAGATCACATTCAAAAGAACAGATCCTATAAGCAAGCCAGGAATAAATCTGAGGGATCAAAAAAAGACACAAGAACAAGACCAATACGAATAAAATGATAAACTTTCTTGAAGGATATTAAAAAGTGAATGGTCCTCCAAAAAAGAGATTCCCATACCTTAGAAAGATTCAGCATCATAAAAATGTTCTTTTTTTACTTAACAAGATTTAATAAACTACAGTTTCAGTCCCAATGGAGTATTTTCCCTTTGCTTTGAAAAATAATGACTTCATATGGAAAAGCTGTTATGTGAATATCAACAAAGAAAAATTTTAAGGAAAAAGAATAATGGTGGGAACCTACTGAACTCAAATAAGAGTGGCACATTAAAAGACATTCTCAAAAAAAAAAAAGACATTCTCTTTAATGCAATGAATAACAAAAGATTAATATACAAATGTCTTTTAGGACTGGTGTTACAGCTCAGTGGTACAGTATTGCTCAGCATGTATGTGGCCTTTATTCAATCCCCAGTACCACAGTAGAAAAAACAAAAAAAATTTTTTAAATAAATATTAAATAATCCGATAGAAGGATGAAGGATGTGAAAAGGCAATTTATAGAAGGGAAAAGGCACATCTTATTTGAAAGATAAAATACCACGAATGCATGTGGAGAGGTAAAAATTAAAATGATGAAATGTGTTTTTATTTTCCTTTGAAAAATTCAAACAATAGCAGCATTAGATGCTGGTGGCGGTACTATAGATCAGGTATTGTCTCCTAACTCAGGAAAACATAAATTATTACAATGCTTAGGAATCTATCTTTATGTAGAAGGATATTCACTGCTTTAATAAAAATTAATAAACAGCAAAAAATAGAACTAAAAATCCATAAATGTTCATTAATGAAATAATTTAAAATTTCTGATGACTACGGATAAGCAAGCAACAGTAAACTGAAACTAGCTAACAAGAAAGTACGCTGATCTGTGCTATAATTCTGAGGAAACAGTATGACAGTATTTGTGCAGTAAGATCCAAGTCCATAAATGTTTGCACAGTTATTTAAAAGACAAAGACATCTGGGGCCGGGGATTTATCTCAGTGGTGCCACAGCCTGCCTCAAAAGCGCAAGGTTCTGAGTTTGATGCCAGGTGCAAAAAAAAAAAAAAAAAACCTTGGGCCAGGGATGTAGCTCAGCAGTGCTGAGCCTGCCTGGCAAGAGCAAGGTCCTAAGTTCAATCTCCAGCACAGGAAAAAAAAAAAGATAAAGACATCATAAGTAAATGGCCACACCAACTTAGGGTTTATGATTAAGTACATTCAATGCTATACCATCCAACATAGGAAGAATCTGTAGTTATAAAGTGTCTTACACAATTTTTTTTCCAATTGAGTAGTGCTATTTTAAAGTGACCACCTGTGGATCAATGATTACCTACTTATAAAGTATTTGACTAAAACTTATGTAAAAAAACAGTGTGTAACTTTAACTCTGACAGGAGAGATCACCACGTGGAAAAGAGAATTAAGTGTGCTTACCAATGTCATTAATCACTGCTCTGATCTTGGAGACAAAAGGACCAACTTCACTGGAATGCATTTTGGCTCTTTCCTTAAGGTCAGCACCTGCAAAGCATTTTATTTACAAATATAATCTTGTTATACACAAAACTGTAAGGCAAAGAACTGAAACTTTACTTAAGATTAACATACAACTGGAAGGTCCCCTGAATCATCTGAAAAAGGAACTCTTACAACATAAGCTCTTCTCCCCAGTGGCTGCCATCAGCTGGAATAAAGCATTTGTTTGCTCATAAACTACAAGGTGTTAGAGCAGTGCTTCTCAAGCTTTCTGGCCTCCAGACCCATCCCATTCTCAAAAGAGAAACTGGATTGCACTGATGGATAATTAATCTAAATGAAACTAAAACCAAGAAAAAATTTAAATGTTTATTCATTAAAAATACAAGTAAAGCCAAGAATGGTGGCACATGCCATAAATGCCTGGTAGGCAGGGGGCTGAGGCAGGATGATCAAGTTTGAGGGTAGCCTGAAAAACTTAACAAGACCCTGTCCCAAGATTAAAATACAAAGGTCTGAAGGTGCAGCTCAGGGATAGAGTGCTTGCCTACCACCTGAAAGGGCCTGAATTCAATCTCTAGCACCACAGAAAATAAAAATAAAAACAAATAAACACATCCATGTTCACCAACAACTATACACTGGTCCCAGCACCTAATTCCTGCAAACAGACTGGCAGTCCTACTGACACTGCCCGGGCCTCACTAGAGCAAGGCCAAGCCAACAGATGTGCACACTGTACTCAGTGCCATCAAGCCATCCTGACTTTACAGACGCCAGCTTGGTTCCTACAAACCACATCTGAGAAATTCTGGCCTTAAAGTAGGAACCAAGAAACAATTCATAATTATGATTTTATTACAAAATCCTAATTTTGGAACAAAAAAAAACAGACTTACAGAATTCTTTAAGAGATCCTTAACTTTCTAGCCAGGCCTGGTTGCCTCATACCTATAATCCCAGCACTCCAAGTGGCTGAGGTAGGAAGATGGCAAGTTTGAGGGAGAATAAAGAACATTAACTCTGAACTCAAGACATTTTAATAAAACTAAAGACAGGAAGAGACGGACATCATTAACTCTGAACTCAACAAAGACATTTTAAGATCTAGAAAATGTTGTTCTCCATTCAAACAAACCCAAAGCTTTTTACTCTCTTATTAGTTCACTGTACATGGATCATGACTACGCATGATATCCAGGATAGACAGGACTCATACACTTTCCAGGGGAGGCAGAACTGGAGTCCCCATCAGTTCATATATATTATATGTATCACAGAAAACCTCAAACATATAAACAAGAAACAGAAGTAACATTAAATGCATTACTAAAATAGCAAAAAATAGGAAATAACCTAAATCTCTGTTAACAAGAGAATTAATAATAAAAGTAGGACACTTATAAACACAATATTATATATGAAACAAAAGAGAATTAAGAGTATCAATACAGATAAACCTACTGAAGGAAAAATAGTTACAGAAACATATATATACAACAATCACATAAATTTTTAAAACAAGAATGCTAACAAGAGAAAAAACACAAATAAGATTGCTTATACACAGCAAAGGAAACAACAGAATGGGAGAAAATATTTGCAAACCATACAGCTGATAATTGATTAATATGCAAAACATGTAAGGAACTCAACTCAGTAAGAAAAACCAATTTTAAAAATGGGCAAAGAAGGTGAATAGGCATTTCTTAAAAGAAGACATACAAATAGTCAAAATGTGAAAAAATGCTCAGCATCACTAATCATCGGGGAAACGTAAACTAAAATTACAATGAGATGTTCCCTTACCCCAGTTTAGAATGGCAGTTCTCAAAAAAGATAAATGATAAGGTGCTGGTGAGGATGTCAAAGAAAGAGAAGCCTTGAACGTTACTGATGGGAATGTCAAATGTTATGGCTGTTATGGAAACTACAGGAGGTTCCTCAAAGCACGAACAACAGGACCATCACTATGACCCAGCAATCCCACTGCTGGGCATAAACAAGTCTTTCCTCATTCATGGCTTTCTCCACTGTTCTGTTACCCACTCACAAAAGTGGTCCAAAGAAATGGAAAATTCCAGAAAAAAACAATTCATTAAGTTTTAAACTGCCCACTATTCTGAGGTGCATGATGAAATTTCACACTGTTCTTTTCCTCTCACTGTAGATATGAATCATGCCCTGAGAGTATCCACACTGTATACGATACCCATCTGTGAGGCTTAGTCACCACCTTACTTATCAGACTGATTATCACAGTAGTGCAGTATGTTCAGTGTCCCTTATTTTACTTAACAATGGACATAAAGTACAAGAGTAGTGATGCTAGCAATTCAAATATGCCTTTTAAAAAAAAAAGCATAAAGTACTCTATTTAAGTGAAAAGGTAAAAGTAATTGACTTGCTAAGGAAAGAAAAAAAATTGTATGCTGAGGCTGCTAAGATCTATAGTAAGAATGAACAGGAAAAACACAGACAGATTTAATTTTATTGTGGTTTCACTCAACTGCATTTCACAGATACCACATTTTTTTCAAACTGAAGGTTTGCTGCAACCTTACATCAAGAAGTACTGATAGGACCATTCTCCAAAAATCATGCGCTCACTTCACATCTCTGTCACTTTTTGGTAATTCCCAAAATATTTCAAATTTTTTCAGTATTATTAGATCTCTTATTTTTACATCTCTTATGCTGATTAGTGATGTATAAGGTTACTATTACGATAGTTTGGGGTTGCCATTAAGTGCTCACAGAGAACAGAGAGCTTAAGATACACTATTGAAATGGGGCCATTAATAACCTACAGCCGCCTCTAAGTAAGGGTCCACATGAAAAGATGTCACACATCTCTCACTTCAAAACAAAAGCCAGAAATGATAACGTTTAGTGAGAAACCAAGCTGGAAGCCAAAATAGGCCAAAAGCTAGGCCCCTTGCCCCAAAGAACCAAAGTTACAAATGTATGGGAAAAGTTACTAAAGGAAATGAAAAGTGCTACTTCAGTGAACACAGAAATTGTCAAAGATCAAAACAGCCTCACTGCTGATGGGGGAGAAGTTTAGTAATCTGGACATAAGATCAAACCAGCCACACATGCACTTAACCCAAACCCTAATCCAGAGTAAGGTCCATGCCTATATACTAAGGCTGACAGGGAGTAGGAAGCTATTACAGACAACTCTGAAGCTAGCAGATTTGGTTCACGAGGCTTAAGGAGAGAGAGCAGTGGCGCCACAACATAAAGCGCAACCTGAGCTGCTGTGAGTGCTCATGTGGAGCTGCAGGGAGACACACACACAACGTCCAGCTGAAGTTAAGGCAGCACATCTTCAGTGTGGACAAGACAGCCTCGTACTGGAGGAAGAGGCCATCAGTAATTTTCATAGGTAGAAGGCAATGCCTGGCTTCAAGTTAAATCCAATACTCCTCTACCCTTCCAAATTCCTAGGGCCCTGAAGAATGAGACCACATTCACTCTGCCTGTGTGCTGTGAGTGCAACAACAAAGTTCAGATGATGACATACATCTATTTACTGATATTTTAAGCCAAAGATTGAGAAGTACTCAGAAACAAAACAAGATTCCTCACAACATGCTATTATTCACTGGCAATGGACCTGGTTACAAAGAGCTCTCAAGGAGATATTCAATGAGATGAATGTCTTCATGCCCCATAAACACACATCTATTCTGAACACAAGGGGGAGTAATTATTTACTTCCAAGTCATCTTATTTAAGAAACACTTTCATAAGGTCACAGCTGTCACAGATTAGTGATTCCAAATCTGATGGATCTGGGCAAAGTAATCTGAAAAGCTTCTGTAAAGGATTCCTCATTCTAGACGCCACTAGGAACATTTGTGTTTTATGGAGGAATTCAAAAGTACCGCCAGTAACAGGAGTTTGGAATAAGTTCATACCAACCTTTATGGATGACTTCGAAGGGCTTCTAACTTCAGTGGGGAAGTAACTTCTGATGTAAGAGAAACAGCAAGAGAACTACAATTTTAAAAATTAATGTAAAACTAACAGATGAGGAACTGCTTCTTATGAGCAAAGCAAAGTGGTTTCTTGAGATGGAATCTACTCTTGGTGAAGATGCTATGACTGCCTTGAAATGAAGACAAAGGATTTAGGATACTGCATATACTTCGTTGCTAAAGCAGCAGCAGGGTTTGAAAGGAATGACTCCAATTCTGAAAGGAGTTCTGCTGTGGGTTAAAATGCTATTATGTAGCAACAGATGCTATGGAAGAGAAATCTTCCATTAAAGGAACACCCAATTAATGTGGCATACTTCAGTGTCTTCTTCTTTTAAGAAACCCTTGCCTGAGAATGTAGCTCATGGGCTTGGAATGTAGCCCAGCAGCACAGCATCTGCCTGGCAAGTGTGAGCCCGTGAGTTTGATTCCCCATACCAAAAAAAAAAAAAAAAAGAATAAATCCTGACCTTCAATAATCACCACCTTGATCAGTCAACGGTTATCAATACTTTGGCAAGATCCCCCACTGGCAAAAAAGACTATAAGGGGCTGAAAGCTCAGTTGATCAGTAGCATTTTTCAGCAATTAACTATTTTTACCAAGGATATATTTTTAAAACAATGCTACTTTATTTAAACTACAGTATCATATAAACAATTTTTGTATGCACTGGAAAACCAAAAACTTTATGTGACTTGCTTTATGTGACAGGCACTTGACTGCCACATTCACTTTACTGCAGTGGGCTGCTAGGAACCCAAGATGTCTCTAAAGTGTGCCAGCTGAGTCAGTCAACTTTCTGTCACTGTACCAACTACCTGAGAGAATCAAATTAAAAAGAAGAAAATGTTCTTTTGGCTCACAGTTTTGGCTCACAGTTTCACTCTATGACTGATGGGCCCTGTTACTCTGTATCTAGAGCACGGCAGTAGAGCCCTGGCACCTCATGGCTGGGAAGAAGGGCCAGGATCCCACAATCCCCAATCCCCGTGGAAGCATACTCTAAAGTGACTGAAAGGCCTCCCACCAGGCCCCATGATGAGCGGTTCCACTTTT